GTGTACCATGTGTCTTTAAGCACTGCCCGAGAGTATTCTGATCTTCTAGGAGTCTAGCGCCAGTTTTCCGGTCGTGAAGGAATGGAATGCTCAGCGATCCGGGACCTGCGCCGTATAAGTGGACCCATTCGGCACTACACCTCCCCCCTATCCCTCTGTGGGTGCCAAGGGACACGTGTCATAACAAATGGAAGCTAGTGGGAAATGGTTTATTATCGATCCATCACATTTTTTATTTTCATTCGAATTCCATTAGGTTTTGCAGTGGCTTTTTAAGGGTTATCCGGCCTCTACAAACAGAGACGAGTCCAATAAATGTAAAAATTAATGTTTTTTGTGCTCCCAGACGGCTACGTAACGTTACCAATTGATCGACCCCGGGCAGAGGAAACGTCCACTTCATCAGAGGACGTTTAGTCGATATTGTCAGACATAGTCGGGGCGATTCAGAGGGATCGAGATGAGGATGAGCCTGTCACCGATTCTCTTCCGTCAGTAGGATCTGCCATTGATCGATTTAGGGTGATAACAACCACTAATGAAAACGCCGTGGGCGGGCTCACTTAATGCCTATTGGCGCCGCCCCGACTAATTGCTGCGATATCAACTGTAAGATACGCGATATTCATTGCTTGACCAAGCGTGTGGCATAGGCCCTCTGCCTGCTCAACCGTTGTCGCCTTCCATTATTTCCATTTATCGTTGTGGACGACCTCTAGAAAAAATTGTACCAATGTTGTAAACAGTAAATAGACCGGTTTTCTGGAATTTTACGAAAACACGCTCAATGCCGTAACAAAGTACGTCTTGTGACGATGACGCTAGTTTTGTAAAAACGGAGAACCTCCCAACTAGATATAAATTGGTTCAATTTGTCCGGGCTCTTATTTGATAATGTTGAAATTGCTTGTTTTTTTCAACCTTGACGGTTGTGCTTACCACTGCAGAAATCAAATAATCATGAAGGATTTCCTGTTTCGACTAAGGGGCGGTGATTGTGGGGTGGGCGGAGAGTATGATGTGAAACTGGGGTTTAGTTCCGCTGTAATTCAGTTGTTGTCTTTGAAACAATGGACACGCGCTGATTACTATTTGCGTTGTAGGAAACTTTTACTCGTTGTGTGCTTGCTCAACCTTTCACAAGGATCTCTTTCAGCCATCCAACATGACCGCGACAAAATTCGATATACAAAAGCGTTGAAGAAGAAGAAAGAAGAAGAACGACGACTGAGAGAACAATCAGAGCTCGCTTTGAAAGAAGAAGTTGGCAGCCCGAGCAGTGCAACGTAAGCTTCTCTTATTCTTTGCTTCTGCTTCATGTTGATATTTTTTCGTAAAGCAACACAGTAGCACTCTACATGTCTGTAAGGGCGGAGTCAGGCTTACAACAGCTCATTCTTCATGCCGCTATACTTCCTCGTCTTCTTCTCAGGGTCACTATCGCGCGTGTCCTCTTTCTTGGTAGTAGGTTACTTTTTTCGCACTAGCAACCCCAGGGTAAATGGCGTTTTCTAGAGGAGCGTGGCTACCAAGGCGGTTACGTACGATATCAGAGCCTTACTTCCGGATTTTGAAGAGTTTTAAACAGCATGTGTTCACACATGTAAATACACATTTGCTTCTATAATAAACTCATCCAGGCTGCAACATCTGTGAAGGATGCTAAGGTAGAGTATGGAAGGGTACTAGTATTCGAGTCGTTCGGGAGGAGGGTAGTTTTCGGTATCGGGCCTTGTTGACTTACCAAGAGGGCTCTCTGATAGTCCCTATTACCCGGTCAACGAGACAGTTGTATTTCTGGAAGACTGTGGAAGATTGTACCGGAGAGAAAGGAGTGGTGAGGTGAGATGGGGGGGGGGGGGGGAGGGGGAGGGATAGGCATTGGGATTGGACTCTGTTTGGACTACTCCCTTGAAGGAAGCAGGGGGGGGGGAGGGTTGTATCTTAGACAACATGAGAGTAGGGGCAGCTCGACCTCTTCACAGATTTCAATTTGCTTCTCAATAATAGTTGCTATTTTCACCGCACTGTTCATATTTGCACTCCCCTTACATAGTTTCCTTACTCCAATCCACACGTGCTAAAATTAGAGGAAACCCATTCAGGCATGTACTCAACTCAAATCTCGGTTGCTCAGCCAATATCATTTTTATGAGCTTTTTTCAGTTCTGACCAGTATGTCAACACGTCCACTCCTTCGTCCAGTACGATGATGATTATTCCAGAGCTCGATAATTCTGCATTCGATCTTGAGTCTCAGGCAAGCAAGTTCACAGTGACAGTTCAAAAATTTGAAAGGGTTTTCTTCTGTTTACCTATTATTCTTGTATATGATATGTTTCTGGGAGATTTACTGAAGGCAGTGGGCACGATTGCTGGAGGTGGACGGTTGTTGCCAGTGTCATTGGCGGGCAAAAATCGAGCGGCTGTTCGACCGCCCCCCACTCAGCCCTTCCACCAATGAGATTCGACGACGACGTTGGCGACAACCGCCCGCCCTCATCAATCGGCCACTGCCTTCAATTTTCAGTATAGCATATAGGTAGCAGTTGTGAGGGTAGCTTATATAAGAGGAGCCTTCAGTGACAAGCCCCAAGAAAAAACGTGTTAAGCAGAGTTACGTGCGTTATTATCATAGAGTATCATCGAGTATCATCAAGTATTATTAACTATCCATTGGGTATATCAGTGCCCAATTTTTATCCTTTTTTAAGTTGTTGTGAAGTAAAATTCTTCTAGAATGATGTTAAATTACTGGTGGATGACTTGATGAGATTGGAGGAGAAAATGCATATGATACGACGAGCGTGTCGATTCGAACCACACACATCGGCGACAAGTTGCATGTATAACAGGTGTGAATGATTTAGTACTATTTACTTGCTCTCTCAAACGCTGGGAGTTTCTAAATAAAAAAAACCAAAGAGTTCAGCGGTGAGGGGTCGGAGGGTGGAAGGAGAGAGGTGGGGGACGAGGGGTTAGTCTGCAAAACCCCTCAGATAATTCTCGATGCTCATTTGCCACCTGCAACTTTCCACATTAGTCATGTATCTTCCGCTGCTAATTCGAGTTCACAGAGATCGCGGCTGTTCCCGGAGCAGAAATATCTGTTCATAGCCGCCTTCCTGGAGCGGAAGTGGGTGACATGTGGTGCATGGAGCTCCGCAGGAACATTTTGTTCGAGATTTGCTAAGAAGTGGGTTAGTTGCTGCCCCTTCGTACAGATTTGTGGGACCGTTGAGCCCTATTTTGAAAGGCAATGAGCACGATAATTTGCTTCTCTGCAGAAAACGGGAGCAGAGGGACGTAGTAGTACGACAATAAAGCAAAATGGGATGAAACGGCCAAAAACCTGAAATAGGGCTTTTACTAACCGCTCCAAGGAAGGAAGTTTACGCCGGAGATGAATCATCGCTGGTCAAGAGATCAATGTGAAAAAATCAGGGCCACTGCACAGGAAATACGAAAACACATTATTTTAAGTGGCAGCAAACTTCACGACAACATCAACGTCTATGATATTTTCACGTAGCGGGTTCGAAAATTCGGGGGAATCGAGTGAAAAAGCTGAAAAGTAAAAGAAATCAAGAACTCCAAAACGGGCACTACTTGAAAAAAGCAGAAACCTTGCACCCTGCCAGAGAAAGTTATTTTCTTCACCAGTGAGAACGGAACTTCTTTAGAAGGGACGCCGAGGAAGGGGAAAAAACGCCATTCAGCCGCTTACTGCAGTTGACAACAGCTGATCCGGTCGCGATCAGTTGCTGATCGATGCGACTATTTGTGGGCGTCTCGTTGTTGGTGGGAGTGCGAGTGGGTATGTTAGGCCATGCTGGTACGCCTAGAGACCACGTTTCGTTACATAGGATCCATGTAAAGCTTGCTCAGGGGTGCGGTACTCTTTAGTGACCGCCGTATTCGTCATACAAGCGTAGGGGATTTATCGTGCCCTTTGCCTTTGAAAGGTTATTTTCTATGCATGAACTGATAGTGAGCCTCGATTTGAATTCTGTAAAAGCCTCCTTCAGTGGAGACCGATGTGCACATAAAATTTTAGGATTTGATGTTTCCTCCAATATAGGTTTATATGAGCCAAAATCAATTTCAAATCACGATCTCAAACTCGATTAAGTCAGTGAAACAGGCAACCTCAGGCAGGCTGTAGAAGGTTCAGCGATGGGAATGAGGGGGAAAAGGAGAAAAAATCGCTCATATTTCTGAACAAGTTGTCCACATTCATGGCGAATCCACCGTCAACTCGGCACTTGTTCGGAGTAGTAATACAGTCTTTCCGCAAATAAGTTGCGCTCATGCTCGTTGGTATGTACTCGTATAGCGGTTTGGAATGCAGTATGAGCACAAATAGAGTTGTTGTTTGGCAAGGCTAGTGAGTCGTCGGCATCCAATTATGTGAAGCTGATGAGTATCCAAAGAGTAAACAAACAAATAGTATTGAATAACCCGAGCGGCTACATACATAAACTCATAAACTAGGATTGGAGCCTTAGGTTGTGCTCCTTCTCCTCACTGAGATTCGTTGTGATGGGATCCCTAGTGAACGGCGCCTAGTCAAGTTTCTTCGAAGGCCTGGAGGTATTTGGACACATGAAAAAAAACTCTGCTTTTCCAGCTTGGTCCAGTTGCCCATTTTGACAGTTGCAGGTATCGTCTATGGCGAAGATGAGGGGATATGTTCTGTTGACGGATCTATAAAAGAACACACTGTAGCTGAGGTTTTAGTTGGGTCACTATGACGGGGTTGGGGTCCCAGCTGATTTGTACATTACTTTTCTCCTCTCTGAAGATTAGAGGTAAAGGAAGTGAGAAGACAAGTGAATTCAGAGTTATTGGCTGAAGGGGTCATACTGACAGCAGGGGAGGGGAAGTGTGTGCTCAGCAAAAATTTTTCGTTACTATGCAGTTTGGTGTCTAATGAGCCGCCTGGCATTCTGCGATGAAAGTGCGGTCGGTAAAGGGGTCAAACTCTGATATTCCGATTCATGGAGAGCGACGGCAAGAAAAATCAAAATATTTGCAGGTGTCTCTTCGATGATTACGAATGGATGAGGGAGAACTCACAACCATTGGTGAGTCCATTGGAAATACCATTTACTAGTATAATAATTATAGTTGTCACAAGTGAGAGAAACAAGCTAATATAACGTTCCGCTATGTCATTACCACGGAAATTTAGAGCGAAAAATGTTCTCTAATTGTTGTTATCCATTTTACAGCGTAAATGTGATGTTATCAGAAAAGTTCGTACCTCGGAATGTGTCATAATCCTCGGAACAATCAGTTTACTATTTCAAACGGAGTCTTAGATCGCAACCCTTCCCAAAGCCAGAAAAAGGGATGAATAGTGTATTCAAAAGCCGTTTACCTCTTTGTAAATTCAAACGTCTCCCATTGTAAAACGGTTGCTCACAATGCTTTTTTCACGCAAAGATACATTCCACCCTTACAGGTGGGCGTGGTCGCTCAACAATTGGACCTTCTTGGTTGACGCATCCCTGCTCTGCGATCTTAGAAAATGTGACCCATTAGTGAGAAGAGTGCAGTCGTCTTGGTGACTGTTTTTGCGATCAGCTCGGAATGTGATTGACTTTCTAAAGTTTTACAGTCATTCCTAGCGCCACAGTGCAGTGCTCTACGATGGAATTGGTTCACTCCCCACCCTTCTCCGACTCATCCACACCCATCCATGCGCGTGTTATATCGCCGTATCTGCATGTTCACCGCAGACCACGCGGACAGCCGCTGTCAGTGAAGTTGATTGGGGCATGTCAGCGGGGTTTTGGTGCGTCGCTAGCACTTTTTTTCCATCGATCCTTGCGCTTCAAGGTTATGAGTAGAGGGGCTGATGTCACCCCAAACCCCATGCGAACACGCCTTGACTAACTAAAGTGATAACAACTGTACCCCTGCTCTTCTAATTATAACTGTAATGTTACCATTTTAGTGCATTTCAGCAGAGCATTTGCTGAATCTTTGTTAATCTGGCTATCCATCGCTCCAATTAGCAGACACTTTCATTCCCTAGTTCAGCCGAGTGCACAGCTCTCAGATAATTAGCTGACGAGAAACGTAGGGGATATAGCGCGTGTGCGTGGACTTTGCGACGACTGGGCAGTTTCATGGAAATCCGTCCGCGGCGTTTTATACCACTGGTTGTTCTCCACCCTGGTCGCGACTTCTATTGGCTAAAAACACAGCCCGCAGGAGGGCTCATTCCACACCTCCCAATACCGCCGCCGTCGCTTCGCAGCGTTATGCCCTATGTTTCGACAAAGTTCATTCCGATTGACTATTTTTGGATTGTGTCAATTTTTTTCAATTTTTCAGCACACTACAACACTGCCATCCCAATGTACACTCGAATCACTGCGTTCATGGTTTGTTCGCGATTTGTCATTAATGATGGAATGGGGCAAATGTTTACCCATCATGGATCGGTTACTTCTTAACGATAAGGTAAGGCGAGATATTTTGGTAATAACCACAATAACTAGAGGATATAACACTATTCGTTTAGCTGGCGTTGATGAAGGCGTTCGCTCCTATATTCCCGTTGCTTCAATTAGCATACTATACAACATCACCGGAAGATAATGACATAGTAATAAGTAAGTAGTACATAATTATCAATCAAAAGTCTGTCCAAGCAAAGAAGGGAGGACTAAAAATTAGCCGAAAATGAATGGAATTTCGGCTCGAAAATAAGCTCGCATTCCCGCGTTCTCTCCTTTTCCTTTTTGATTCCTATTTTACTGTATCAGACTAGTCAACTTTAGTTTAAACGCCAAGAGAAGCTATTGACTCGAGAACCTTTCGAATGACAATTACATTTTGCACCTTCTACACATGCGTTAGGGAAGGTAGATGAAAAAGTATTTCTCCGCCGTAATTCGTATCCAACGGGGGTCTTTCATAGGTGGGCGGGGTTAATGATGTAAACGAGTCGCTTTTAGCATTGCTTCTCTTCTGTGATGGTGGGTTGGGCGCTGGACCGAGCCAGCGTGGCTACTGCTAAACGGTACAATTATAATTCCTGCAAATGATAGGGCGTGTGAAGGGGCGTGGGTCGGATCGCAGCCAGAGCAGCCTTCTTACCAGTTGTTGCGGGCTCAGGATGGCGCTATTGATGGAAGACCGCTTTGGCAATGTAATTCACTTCCCCTCATATGCTAGGTCGTTTGCAGGGATCATGGCTGTACAGCAGGTCATAGAAATCATCCGTTACTTTGGATACACGTTGCGGGCAGGTAAGACTGTTTAGGATGGGCAGGTTCGCAGCTGCACAATGTGCACCTTTTGTCTACTGCGCCCCCCCCCCCAGGGCTTATTATTCGAAACTAATAGCAATCTCATGGCCTGGTTCCACATATAATAGCGCAACCACGCTAGTAATATGTGGAACCAGGCCACAAGATTGCCCTCGCCCGAGGATTTCTGGTTTCTCTCCTTTGCCTCTGAGCACCTCTATTCATCGCGTGCTCGTTAAATGCTGACAACCGACCGGGCCTAAATGAGGGGCTTTTCCCCTCATTTACCTCAACAAGAAGTCAAACATCGCCCTTGAAATTGTATTTCAATCCAGCCCTTATAAGCTGCAGTCGCGGAATGAGTCTCAAAAGCAGTGGCCAGCGAGCGTCTGGGGCGTGAGGCGGTGTCACTGACAACGTTTTTTGCAGGACGGAGCTGAGGTACAGGGTGTGTGGCAGGAAAAAGTCGCCTCCCCTTTCTCAACGGGCCGGCCAATCGCTTACTACCATTGACTATGCAGTAACGCCCCCCCCCCGCAATCGTGGCGACGTCTGTCTTGTTCGGTCTCATTGTGTTTCTTTGATTGGCCTGTAAAAATTTTTGATTTTCTGTGACTTATACGGATGTGAAACTATAGAAATCAAATCATAATTTTGTTGTCGTTCACAAGAAGACCAATCGCGCCAGTTTTAGTAGCAAGAGGGCCCAGACTGGGAGGCAAGTAACAATATTGACGCGCTGTAATTATCGCGCGATGTGTAGCATTCATGTGAAAAGGTCAACGACATCAACCATACGTAAGGACCACACATTTTTTTGTAACATTAAGTTTTCAACAGTCTTCTGAAAGTAAAGGCGATATTTCAGCGAAGAGATGTACACGATCTTGATTGAAGGATGTTTCAAGCTCATGCGGCGTCTACAGATCAAACAACATCATATCGTACTGTACAAAATGCTTTTACTTCATAATCCGGGTAAGTTTTGACGCTATTTGCTTTTTGCTTGATTTTAATATATATTGAATATGCAAAGAAAGGCGATCTCCTCAGCAGTAGGCGCCCACCGGGGTGAAGAGGGGCGAAACGTCCATAATCTCCCAAAAATCATTGGTGCGGGGGATGTAACAAGACGTTCGTAATTCGCCACGTTAGTAGGCGTCGCGCGCGACGTCGTGACTGGCATCTTTCTGGGTCGTAGAAGGCGAAAATCGGTTATGTATAACCAAAAATGGTTGTAGCTGTCTACGATGTCGTTATCTACATAAATTACGCTCCCGACAGGTTTGTGCGAATTAAAAAAAACCCATCCTTGCGCGCGTTGGAGCGGCCCATCCTTGCACGCGTTGGAGCGGCAAATCACAATCTATCGAACGTCTCCCATTGGTGCTTCCCTATCCGTGGCATTCTCTCACCTTCAGTTGAATAAAAGGGAAAAACACTCGGAGGGATGGGGGAGAATGCAGCGGCTGGGCGAGATTGCGTCGCATCTGCTTGTCTGCACCCTCTCGTCGGGATTGTACCCAAAATAATTCCCTGCACCTTCATGGAGGAAATCTATCTTTAAACTTCGAAGTGAAGACGACGAATTTATGTGAAATGTTGCAGATGCTGAAGGCTTGTCATCGACTGGCAAGAAAACTATCGAAGCCGAGCGCCTACGCCTGCTGAGCCAATTATTCCTCTGGATCAGTAACGAACGTGGCAAAGCGTCACAACTGTTGTTCTCAAATCTTTTAATGATGACGGCTACATTGAATGTAAGTTCCTATTATCTCGAACTTCAGTTTCGTGCGCAAAAAAAAGCTGGGTATCAAACCATACGATGAGACCCACCTTGTTATGTGTACTCCAACAGATCCTTGGCTAACTCCTTGACTAAGCGAACTGACAAGTATTTCTGACTGCTTCTGACTCAAAATGCGTCAACGACATCAAGCATACTTCCCTGTAATGACCTCGCGATTACGGTTGACTACACGGGCTATCGGAGGTGGGAGACGGGCAAGAGAATCGTAATTTGCCGCTCCGCCGCGCGCGGCAATGGGCGCGACAGTTTCTTAACTCGTGTTAACCTGTCGACTGGAGCACCGGACTTCATG